AGCGGCCTTGCATCCTCATGGTCACTTCTCTGGATCTACTCCAGCTCTGTGATGAATCAGGGGGGCAGCAACTCGCCCTGTCTTGGCTGCGATAACCATCAGCCATTCCTGAAGCTTCCCAGGTGGCTCCAGCCGTTGTCCAAGAAGGGGGTGAGGAGGCTGCAAGGAGGTGCTGGGAGGGAGGAGGAGGGTTGGGAAGACTTCCAGGAGAAGAGAGACCCAGCAAATTCTAGTGTCATCTAAATCTGATGGGAGCAGGAGCCTACAATGCCATCCCTACTCCTCTGACACACACTTCCCCTCACGCTTAAAGAAACAGCCAGGGTACTGGCTGGTGACGACCGTCCCTTGTAGCCCATTGCAGTCCACAAAAGCACTTCCCCATTCAGTGTTTCACTTGGTCCTCCAATAGCCATAATGTCATGGGTGGGGAGCTATATAGAATAAAGGCTTTGAAGCTGGAACTGGGTCTGGTTCTGGCTCTGCCATTATCTATAATACATCTCTTTCACAGGTGAGATTTAGAGGGTACTGACTTGCTTCAGAATTCACAGGCTGCCAGCAGTGGAGCTAGAATAAGACCCCAGCCCTGACTGGTGTGGCTCAGTTGTTCGGGCATCATCCTGCAAAGGGAAAGGTCGCTGGTTCGATTCCTGGTCAGGGCACAGGCCTGGGTTGCAGGCTCAGTCCTGGGTCATGGTGTGTATAAGAGGCAACCGATCAATGTTTCTCTCCCTCTCTTTCTCCTTCCCTCCCTCTCTCAAAATAAAATCTTAAAATGAGACCCCAGGTCTCCTGATGTCTAGAAGGAGGTAAGGGAAAAGTAGCATCTACAGGGTTCTGGTTAGGTGCTGGTTAAAGTCCTGCTTAGGAATTTGCTTGTTTCTGTGTACTTAATGATGTTTGTTTTTCTTCAGTTTCTTAGAAAAAGACTTTTTTTTTAAAAATGCCTCCCCTTTTGGCTGAACTAAGGGGGAAAAGACTCATCTAATCCATACCTTGGTTCACAGTAGATATTCCAGAGCCAGGTGTGGGAGCAGCCCAAAGAGAGTTCGGACTGTGGATTGTGAGCCCCTCCCTGCTGTGGGCAGGAGCCCGACAGCCTATCTGGCAGTCTTGGGACTGGACCTGGAGTCTAATGCTGCACCAGCCAGGATAGTGGGTGGTGGGCAGGGCTACTGTTCCCACCTGTGGCTTTGTCAGCCCTAACTGTGATTCCAGCCTTCACCCCCTCTGCCCTAGAGAAAGCTGTCTATAGAATAATGTGCAGGCCCCCAGCAGAGTGACAGAGTTGAACTTAGCCCAGCCACAGACAGATAATGCTGTTTTGTGGAGAGGGGAAGAGCTTCAGGCATGAAGGTCCGTAGGCCCAGGAAGAATCAAAGTTGAGTCTAGGCTAGTAGTGGGTGAAGAGAAATGGGGAGGTGCGTGGGACTGGAGGAGGGGCCCAGTGACATACACACGCTTGCCACTGTAGACCGATCTCTTCTCTGCTGTGAGTTATGTGCATAGTGGAGATAAATCATTCACCTGCCTCTCAGTTGGTTTATCCAACAGGAAATATTTACGTTCCATTTGCTTGTGCCCATAACACGGGATAATGCTAGTGGTGGTATTTAGTGTGGCCCTGACCCCACTGTTGGTAGGTGCTCAATAAATGGTGGTTGCGTATCAACGATCAGCACAGTTTCCTGAGGGGCCTGGCCTATTCAGGGGGACTGTCACTTTTCCAAGTAGAAGCTCCAAGGAGGCTGCAGTTAACTAATATTGCTACCAGGTGCATAGGTACCTAGATAGGTGAGGAATCACATTGAAGATAGAGAGTTTGGCTAAGAAAGGAGATCCTACCAGGTCAAGGGCTGAGGAGGTAGAATTGGGCTAGAATGAAGACATCAGAGCCTTTTCTGGGGTCTGGGCTCTCCCAGTGGTTGTTGGGTTGCACAGAGGAGTTACTTCCTTCCTGGTCTTGGACCAGTCTGTGCCAATGTTTGTTCTGATTCTCTCCTGCCTCTCTTGGCACCATCTCTACCATTTGTCAATCTCTGGGCCTCTGTTTCTTCTCTTGGGCCCCCTTTTGCCTTCTCAGCTGTATGGCACAGGGTTCTACTGTAGCCTCTCCATCTGGAGGTGCAGGTGGTTGATAATGGGACTAGAGTGTGGCCCTGGTCAAAGATTATACATGGTCTGCTCCCTTGGTGGACTGTGAGCCCTTCCAGGGCAGGGTCCAGGCCTGAATTGCCTCTGGGCTCCTGTGTTCAGTATGGAACCTGCCATCTTTGACCCCTGACCAGAGAGGGCTCAGTTCCTTTTGCCTCCATTATTGGGCTAGTCAAGACAGCACAAGTCTGAATTGGCCCTTCTCCCTCACAGGTGGCATGGGTGGAGGGTGGGGGTGGGTGCTGAATCGGAGTATATGGTTCCTTGTGTCCAGCTTCCTCTTCCTGGCTGGCCGAGGGTTTGGGAACAGTGGCTGCCTTTCTGGGGCAGTCAGGGCGCCTGGCCAGAGTATGCCTGTCAGGCATGGTCAGCTCTTCAGCAAGCCTCGGTCCTCCTCTTAACCTAGAGAAGGCCCCGGGTTATTGGTGTTGTTCTTGGCGGACCACCGGGCCCCTCAGCAAACAGGCAGGCGAGTGTGCACCCGGCCTGGGCCTGTTTGTGTTGGCCTCGCCAGGCGGGGGATTAGCTCAGCTGGGCTGCTAATTGCCTCCGAAGTGCCGGCCGGGATGCTGACAAGGGCTGGGCCTCTAGGCCCCTCCTTCCCAGCAGGCACTATGCCAGGCTAGGGGGCCTGGCCCAGAAGGGCCCCTTCTCTCCCCTGTCAGCGCCTGCTTGGCCTAGACCCTTGAGATGCGGGCAGGGGGTCACTAGGGCTGGCTGCTCAGGAAGGAGTGGGGGGAGATGCCTATGAAGTCATCGCCTGGGCCAGGCCAGGCCACACTTCATCCCTTCCCCCACATCCCTTAGACATCCCCTCACACCAGCTTCTTGAGTCAGACGCCTTCTCCCGAAGCTCAGCACTTTCTCCTCTTACTAGGAAGCTGCTGGGCTCCTCTGCCCAGATGCCCTCTGGTTCCTCAGCGCCTTCCTCTCTCTTCTCTGTTCCTTTGTCTGTCCTCCCACTCTCTGCTTTTTCCTCTGTTCCTCAGCCCGCCTTAGCACCTCTCGGTTACTCAGATCCTATACTTCCTTTTACATCCGTCAGTGTTCTCTGGCTCTACTTTGGCCCCAGATCCACCTTGAACCCTATGTCTGGTCTCCCTAGACTTCCCTTGGACCACTGGCTGGCAAGAAGGGGCTGTAACGGTCTACTTTATCACGTGGTTTCACAGCCCACCCAGACCTCAGGCCTGAACTCTGAGGGCACCTGTCAAGGATGGATCTGGAAACAGCCCCTCTGTGAGCTGACCACCCCCGCCCCAGCCTGGGAGTCCTGAACTCCTTCCACCTGTACAGGCAGAGCCTCCGGGCCCCACTACATGCACCTGCGTCCTACAGCTTTACTCTCCCACCTGCACTTGGGACTCTGCCCTCCTTGGCCCTTGCTCCCTGTCCTAACTCTGTGTCTTGCTCACATTGGGACCTTGGTTCAGCCTGTCCTGCTGGTGCCTACAGGTAGCTTTGCCATTTCCTTGCTTGCTGCTGCCTGGGTATCCCAACCCCCAGGGGTTCTCTGTCTCTGTCTCCAGCCTGCGGATCTCTGCCCTGAGACATCTTTCTGCTTCTGATCTCTGGGATGAGGACAAAGGAGGACCACAGTCCTTGGGGAGCGCCTTTAGCTCTTAACCAATACCCCACTGTCTCAGCTTCCCTCCTTATTCCACCCCCCTTTCTGGCGCCTCAATCTTAGAGCTGCTTTAATTGCTTCCTATACTCCTGAAAAGGGAATAATACTGATGTTTATAATAATAGCTGCCATTTGTTGAGCTTAACACGTTTTGTTTCACATCTGCAATAAATAGGTTCTCTTATTATTTAGCCCCATTTGAAATTGGGGCAAGGAGGGCAGCACTGTGTTGTGAATGAGGAAACGAGTCCCAGAGAGGAACAAGGAGTTGTCTGAGGGATTCCATCCCAGATCTGAGTGCAAAGCTTGGGTCCTTTACACAGTTCTAAGAAATGGTTGGGAATAGACATCATTTCTTCATTCTGCCACCTTGGACTTGATTATTACCTCTCCCCCTTTTCTCTGCCTTGACCCTGCTTTGAAGATGAGGTGTCCTTTGCTCTCTACCTGTAGTCTAGACCCCATGCCTTCCCTCCTTCTATTATTCTCTTTCCCCGGTTCTTCACAAAAGCCTGTGTGTACTCCTGCTGTCCTGAAAGCACTCCGCATTGGCCTCTTTATTTCCTACTAAACCCTGGGAAAGCCAAGCTGTTTCCAGACTCGTGTGAATTTGCTGCAGTAGTGGTGGTGAGTGGGGAGACAGGCCATGCCGCATTTGGTGAAGATGAGGACTGCACCAGAGTGAGGTTCCTCAGAAGCCACCTTGGGTCTCCCCAACAGCTGTGACTTGAGTTATGTGGCATTTTCCATCCAGATACCTCATTCTGACTTGGCTCCAATCCAGGAGTTTACTTCTAGCTAGGGCTTTGAACACCTGTGTCCTTGAGAGGAACTAGGTTCTATTTCATTTGTCCCCTATCTTCTCAAGCGGCACCCTCTTCACCATACCCTCCCCTGTCACTGTTTGGTCTCCTCCTCACATCAGCAGTCAAGAAGGGTGCTGAGGCCCTGGCTTAGGCCAGTGTTCACATAGCTGCTCGTGGCTCAGTGAAGTGCCGCTGTGGCCGTGTGTTGGTGGATTCTAGACAGCATACTGGTGGGTCCTTTACTCATGGCTGTCAGTGCAGTGCCTCACAGGGAAAGAGGGCAAACCGCGCCCCTAGCCAGAGATTACTACTGTTTATCTGCCTTTTACACATCCTTTCCCCAGTCTCTCTTCTACAAAAAAAGTCACTGCCACAATTGCAAGATAAAGAAATAATCATTTTATCGTGCATCAGACTATTTCATGGGGATGTCACAATGGCAAGGAGCCTAGTATAAAAATTGGAAGATGGGATGGGGCAGCAGAGGGGGCAGCAGCATCCAGAGCTGGGGCTTATCCAGCCTGAGGCCTCAGACGACAACGCTTTTGCCTGTGGCAAGTTTAGTGGAGAAGGTTTGGGTTGGGAGTTGGGCTTCTGGCCAGCTTGCAGAGTGGGTGGGCTACGTCTGGCCTATGCTAGTTTCTCCTTCTATTTGGGACAGTTTAGAGGAGGGTGTGTCCAGGGAAGCTCCATTTTTCTGTGGCTGTGGATCCCCTTGGCCTTTGGGGTGCTGGTGATGGTAGTGGTAGGGCTGGCAGAGGTTCCTAGAATCTAGTCTATTTTATGGAGGTTATACCCTTCAGAACCCCAGGAGTATCAGCTTTGGGGAGCCCCCTGGCAGGCAGAAAGGTAAAGCATGTGAATGGGCACAGACCCTCACACTCCTACCTGGAGGCAGTGCCCAGCAAACCAGCATTCATCCTGGTCCTGCTATTCCCCTGGCTGTGGGGATAGGACTTGGGGAGGAGGGAGAGTGGCTCAGCCCTATCTCTGGAGGGGGAGGGGTTCCTACTGCTTCCTTTGTCTGGGTCTGGCCTGTGCCATTGAGGGATGGTATTTTCCCTGGCACTGAGCAGACAGCTGAACAGAGCCCGCCAGAGGAGCAGTGAGCCCAGATGGGCAGCTGTGGGGACACTTAGTCGGCTCAGTTTTCATCCACATCAGAGCTTGCTTGCCCCACGATTATCCCCACATTCGAATGTAGCTCCAACATCTCACTTGGTTTTGGCCTTCTTGGGTGGACATTGAGCAGAGAGCTTGGTTGGAGGCCAAGAGTGTTGACCTCTTTGTGAGGGAGCCAACACCAGGAGACACAAACCACAGGCCTGGAGAGCTTCTACAGGCCGGAGCTCATATTCTGAATCTGGGACTTTGAATCCAGACATTGAACCCTGGAGCTGAGAGGTTGGGGTCCGAGAACCCCCAGTGGGGATCCCAGAGCTCAAGACCTGAAACCAGGAGCCTAGAACCGCAGTGAGGGGGAGGCCTGGAGACTGGGCTGGCGGTGAGCTTTTCTGGTGGTTGGGAGCCCACCCTGGAAGCACTTGGGTCAGGCCAGGTCTTGCTGTGTGCTTGTCTTGCTCACAAAAGTTTGGACTGGCCTCCTGATGGTTTGGCTGTTGTGCAGGGCCAGGCCTGGGTGGCTAGGGCTGTCTCTGGGGGACACTTCAGTACCCAGGGTACCCAGAGACAGGGGTGCCTTCCAGCTGTCTACCTTGTTCCTCAGAGTCTGCCCTCGGGAACAGGGTAGGCTCTGGCTCAGTCTGCGTCTGTGCCTCCATCTGCCTCGCGGCTCCTCTCCTCCAGCCTGAGTCCCTGCCCCAAGTCTCAGACCAAGAAGACTGACAGTTTCCGGGCCTTTGGGTACAGGAGCTCAGAAGGAGCCTTGCATGGAGGGATCTTACGTCTTTGCCTCTATATCTTGCTTGCTCTGGGACCCAGCTGGGCACTGCTGTCTCTGCTGTAAAATGGGCACAGGCACGCCTGTCTTCTCCACCATCCAGTGAGGTGGTCCCGCACGGTGCCTCGACCATAGCTTTTGCTCAGTAAACTGGATTGAGTGAAATAATGGTTGGGAGAGGGCTTTCTTACATGACCCTTCCCTCTCTCCGTGTGCGTGAGCATTTCCATTCTTAGTTTCACGGAGGAGCAGCACTGTGAGGAAGGCTCACGTGGGGGTGTCACTGCAAAGGCCCCCCTGGGATCTCTGGTCCAGGATGGCAGACTATACTCCTGCCTGGGAGGGACTAGGGAGTGGGGGGGGTTCCCTCTCTGAGGGGGAGGCCAGGCAGGCTGGGCTCCAGGGTGGGACTGTGGCCTTCTCACCCTCATCTCACTTGTTCCTGCCTGAAAGGTCCCACAGAAATTGAACCTCCAGCTGTTTATGGAGGTCTGAAATTAAACCTTTGCTCTTGACCTGGTATCTGCCCATTCCCTTTCCAGGGTGCTTGAGAAGACAAGGCCACCAGGCTGAAGTTGCCAGGGGTCCGTGTGTATGTGCAGGGGTGCAGCTTCCGGTGAAATGGCACCAATATCCCCCTGCCATAGGGCCACCTCTTTCCCTAGGTGGCAGGGTCAGCAGGCTTGTGGCTGTAACACTCTTGTTACCCACCTTAAGTCTACAAGTAGAAAAACGGATACCAGTAACAACTGAGTGGTCAGCAGCAGCCACAGCTGGGAGCATGAGCAAGGTCCCTTTGGTCAGTGGCAGCCACAAAGACCCAGGCTTCAGGGAGACCCCAGTTGGTGTCCTTGGGTCACCTGCCTGGTTTCAGTAATAAATAACAGAGGACCCAAAAACCAAACCAAAACAAAAAATATAACCAGTATCTTTTGGGGTGGGTGGTAGGGGACTGTTTAAATTATCGGCCTTCCCCGGGCCACTAGGTGGTTGCTGGGCATGCGCTAGGCGGCAGTCACCGGCACGTGTGCAGCTCCACCAGCCGCTGGCACTGCCGGCACTTGACGAAGCAGCACCAGTGGAATTTGCAGCTGCAGCGCTCAGCCAGCTCCACCTGTGCCGTGTGGAAGCCACGGCCACAGCACAGCAGCTCACAGCCGTCGATGGCCTTGGATGTCTTGTTGCACGTGCGGCCCCTTGTGCCCAGCACACCACTGCGCATGTCCTGCTCACAGAAGTCTGGGCTGGGCTCCAAGTACACCAGGTCCTCATCCGTGTGCGGCTTGAACTGCGCATTGCGAGGCACCAGTGCCCTGGAGGAGCCCACACGACGTGGCTCCACCTCGGTGGCGCCATCGAACTTCTCCTTCAGTGCGTGGCCCACCTGGCGGAAGGGCGGCACGGCTCGCCAGCACGTCTTTACTTCGCAGGAGCCTGACACCCCGTGGCACTTGCACTCTACCCGCATGTGTGTCAGGATGGCCTGCAGGGGACAGGGAGGGGAGAGAGCCATCAGGAGATGTGGCAGGGGAGGATGGGGAGGGGCTGCTCTGGGGCAGACCTCGGGGTCATGGCTGGGGGGCATGCCGCAGAATTGGAGACAGGTGGGCTTCATGCTTCCTCTGTATTGAGTACCTACTCAATACATGGAAGGCTGGTAAGTTGTGTTGGGGACAGTTGAAGATACTGTCACTGCACTTGGGGCACTTGCAGTTGACGGGAGGGACATTTTAAAAGGCAGTGTCATGGAACAGCGAGTGACAAGTGACATAATGGGGAAGAACATGGCCTCACTGAACCTGCACGGAAACCTTGACCAGTAGGTATGGAGAGGGCAGATGCTATCTATCAGATTTAGGTTCATGATCTTTGCAGTGACATAGGATTCAAATACTAGCTGTGCTATTTATTAGGGGGGTGAGTGACACGGATGGAGACATACCTATTTACATAAGTACACATGGGTAAGGCATGTTGGGGAGCAAGTGTGTTGTGTGGGAGGGCCACTCACATTGCTCAGTGACACCTGTGCCCCCGTCTGTTCCCCACCCTGCCAGGAGGTGCCTGGTGCTGGAGAGAGCCTGAGCGAATGTTTTCTGAATGGCGTATGGGTTGGGAGAGTGTTTCAGGGACCTTGCTGAGCCCACCTCTGCCCCAGTGGTGATGGTGGCAGAAGAAATGACACACTACCTTCCTGCCGGCCTCATTGTTGTGGAGGTTCATGAGGGCCCGGCTGGACGAGGCCCCTTTGCTTCGCTCCCGCACGTCCACGAATGACTGTGAGAAGGCCACACCGTAGGCGATGTTGTCCGAGCATCCTGACCACTGGAAGCCTGGGGCGCAGTGGGCAGAAGGGGCCACGCGTGAGTGGCAGCCAGGCCCCTGCTCTCCCACTCACTCCTCCCCCTGTCCCGCACTTACCTTGGGGGCTGACCCCATGCACTGTCCGGTCACAGCCGCACTTTTCCAGCTCCCCACTGCTGCATGCTCGTGTCACTGCGAAGGCCACACCTGCTGAAGAGATGGCGTACACGAAGGCCGCCTCCCGAGTCCCTGTGGGAGGCAGAGGGGGGCAGGGCTGGGTCCTGGTGCTGCTCCCGCACCCTCCTTTTCAGAGGCGGGGGCACGTGGGACCTGAACAGTCGAGGCCCAGGGAGAGATCAGGGCAGGCTGACTCCCCGAAGCCAGGAGTGGCACTGTGCTGGCAATTGTTCTCACCACACGGGTGCTAAGTACACCTACTATGTGCAAGGCACTGCCCTCTGTCTTCACGTGTGCTGAGCGTGCATTTTATCCTCACAGGTGCTGTGAGGTCAGTGCTCTCATCGTCCCCGTTATACAGAGACCAGTCAGCGGTGTGTGGGGAGCAGGCAGTCCAGCCTCATTGCTCTTAGCTTCTGTGGGGTTGCTGTTCTCACAGCCCCATCCAGAAGGCTAGTGATGTTCACGACATTTGAGAGAGAAGACAGGCTCAGAGAGGTGATTGGACAGTGACTGGACTACAGAACTGTGAGGTAGCAGGCTGGGCTGCTATCCCAGGTCTGGCTTCCTCTAAAACCTGTGTTCTTTTTGTGCCTGCTTCCCAGCCGGCCCCCCAGGCTCTGAGGGGTGCCCCCACCTTCGGTTCCTGCCCCAGCCCTTCTTGCTCAGGCTGAGCTTGTTCCTGATACCCTCTTGCTTCCTCATCTCTAAATAAGAGACAATGAGTCCCTACTGTGTACCTTACCACTGCCATCAGGAGCTTTCTGTTCCCATTTTACAGATGGCACAGTGTAGGCTGGGGAGGGGAAGTGATAGAACCAGGACTCAGGCACAGGTCTGTCCGCCTCTGTGCCTGTTCTTTCCCTTCCGCCCATGACTTCTCAGTGGTTCTATTTTGGTGCCTGCCCTCGCCCCCTGCCTGAATGGGTGTTTTTATCCTCCTAGGAACTGTGCCTTGGGGGTGTAGCTTCTGTGGAGCCTCTTTCTGGGGGTGTGGGTGGTGGGAGGGAATATGTGTGTGTGTGCTCCCAGTGCAAGTGTGGTGCGTGTGTGCATGGCTGGCTGGGAGTGTGACCAGACAGGCCCTGCTCCTCTCCTGGGCCCTCTGAGGGCCTCTGTGTGCCCGTGACTGTCCTTCTGTCTCTTGCTGGAGTGTCTGTGTCCGCAAGAGTGGAGGGGGCAGGTTTTGGCCCCGTGGTTGGCAATTACCTCTGCGACACCCAGGGCTGTGCTCTCGGCTGCCCTGGGGAGCAGTCACCGTGGTCAGAGAGAAACAATCACCTCCTCTGTGCCCGTGTCTGCGGACAGGCAGCAGAAAAAGCTGAGCTGGGGTGGGGGCAGCTCAGGCCCTGGTGGCTTGGGATGCCCTGTTCTTGGTTTGGCCCTAGACTGGGGATACTGCCCACCACCCACTTTCTACTGCCCACCCTCTGCCCCGGCCTGGTCACTTTGGGCCGGCATCAGGGGCCTTGGCTGGGGCCACGGGGGCCTTGACAGCCTGAGATGGAATCCTCTCCAAGTTAATCGAGGTTAATAGCAGGATCATGTTGGTTGGTTTTGTGCTGTGGCCGCCCAAAGAGAGACGACTTTAGTTTCTGGTATTTCTGGTATTTCCAGGCCTGAACCAGCACAATTCTTTGCCCCAAAGACCAAGGCGGGAGGGAAAGCGGGAGATAGGGCTGTGGGCCCCAGATCTTGGCCTGGCACAGCCCTTTCTCTTTTGCTTCTCCGAGCTTTCCGGCGGTCCTGGGCCACCCAAGCTCTGGCTTCACCTCCTGTCTTGAGTGCTCATGGCCCTGGGGTGCAGGGCGCCCTGTGAGGTTGCCCAGGGAGACCTCTGCCTCATTCCCCAAACCAGCACCCATCTTCTGCCAGGACTCCATGTCCCCTCCTCCTGGCCTTGGGGACAAGACACTAACGGTTTTCTCAGCTTGGGAGTGGGCCTGAAGGAAGGCTTTCTGGAAGAAAGATAAAAAGAGCTAAAGCTTATAGAGTGCTTACTCTGTGCTGGGTGCTAAGCACTTCACGTGGGTTATGTACTCTTCACAATAATCCTGTGAAGTAGTGAAGTGATTTTTAAGCCTCATTTTACAGATGAGGTAACTGAGGCACTGAGTGGTGAAGCCACTTGTGCAATAAAACAGCTGGGAAGTGGTGGAATTGAAATTTGAACTTGGGTATCCTGGCTCCAGACCTTTCAGCCTTGACACTACCCTGCCCCATGGCTGGAGCCCCAGGAATAGACATGCAGCCACTCTCTTCCCACTGCCTGTGTGTGAAGCAAAGGACTTCCTTAGGTCTGCTCTAAATCTCACGTGCTGGGGGACAGGCCCAGTTACTTTTGCGGGTTCTTTACTGGGGGATGGTGAGCAGTTGGCCTCCATGCCCCTAAAGCCGATGACAGCGGCTCCTCCAGCTCTAACTGGCCCTTGGCCCCAGCCCTTTAACTCTATTAAAGGAGCGGCCCCTTCCCCCTCCGCCCCTCTGCCAAGGTGCCCAGGCTGGGGCCTTGCTCACTAGGGCACCTGGCAGAGGCTGCTGAGGGAGAAAAAGGATCGTGGTGCGCCTGCAAGGGAAGCAGAAGGGAGGTCCCAGCCACGTGGTAGATAACTGCTCCCTGGTCAGGGTTTGTCTGTTCCAGCTGCAGGAGAAGGACAGTCCTAGCTTTGTCCTCCTGGGACAGCAGATCTGGCCCAGGGTCAGGCAGGACTCTGGAGTGTACCAGCAGCCACCTTACAGCTTTCTGCCTTTCTGAGAGCCATCTGCCTGACCTACGCTTCACTCCTTCCTGCTTTTTTCTCCTTCCCAGGGCACCTTCTTAGCTAGCTCCACTGGGCTAAGTCACGTGTCCTCAAGGTCTTTTCTCAGGGCCGTCTTTGCTGACGTGGTAAGGCTGTCTGGGGCTGGGAATTCAGCACTGTCCTGTGGCTCCAGTAACAGCTCCCTTTTCTGAGCATGCTGGGGCCTTTGCATATATCGTCTATGGCTCACAGAAGCCGAAGCAACCAGCTCTCTCCAGCTCTGCTCTGTGGAGGAGACAGTGAGGCTCAGTGGCTTGTCTAGGATCCTTCAGCCAGTCCGTGGCCAAGAGGGAAATGGAACAATTCCGAGCACATCATGTGCGCCATCTCCTAGCTAGAGGGCGTATTTGGAGGAGAGCCAGATGAGGCTGAGTTGGGCTGGAGAGAAGGCATGGGCACCTGGCCGGTGTCCTGATAGACGTGTCAGCCCCACTGTAACTCGGGTGTTTCCAGAGCAGATTTCAGTGGTAGTCCCCAGGGAGGTGGGAAGAATGGGCTCGGGCCTCTGAGAAAGATACCATTCCCCGTGCCTGCCCCAGCCTGCCTTTCTAGCTTCTTTTGCTCTTCTCCGCAAAAGGTCACCTATCCTTGAAATCCATCTGTGTCTGAGTTCTGGTTCTGTCACCTCCAGGAAACCTCTTTGGATTTAAGAGACGATGTAGGGACAGGGTGAAGAGAAATGGATTTGGAGCTGGACAAAGCCGTGTCAAGACTCCTCCCTCTCTGCCTCCTTCTCCCAATTGGAACACGGGAAAGTCCTGCTGCCCGCAGGCCAGACCCACGCACTTCTTCACATTTCCCTCCCACCATCATGCGTTCGGTCTCGCTGGCCCGCCTGGCCCTCAGAATCGGGTTGCAGACCTTGAGTATCTCGTGTTTGGCCTCTGCAGCCACATTAGAAGCTCCTGGGACCAGGCTGTCCCTTATTCTTCTCTTCTAGTTCCTTAGCACCCAGCACAGGGCTGGGTACAGAGTGGGACCCTCACAGCTGCTTGGAGACGGGTGGGGTTGGGGAAGCGCAAGGATGCTCACTGGGTAGGCCTGGGGTGGAGTCCTGGACCGCACCTTTCTTGTCCATAGCATGGGGCTGATAGTACTACTGACTTCATTAGGTCCTTCTGGAAATTGATGAGGTAAAGTAAGCAACGTGCTTGGTCTAGTCCCTGGCACATAGTAGGCACTCAAGACACAGTAGCTCTTGTGAGACTGTGTTGGGTGATTAATACCACTTTATTCATTTGCTAATCAGTTTGATGGGGTGCGCACACTCTGGAGGTCAGTCAGTTGATCTTGTCTTTGCCATTGGGCTGACCCCTTCCTTAGGGCAGAGACTCGATCTTGTCGCTACCCCAAATGTTTGTTGATTGCCTGCTGTGAGCTAGGCCGCAGGAGCACCCAGGTGAATTTGTCCTCAAGGAACCCTCAGTGGCAGAATGTCTCTGGGGGTGCTCCTGCTGTCTGTTAAATGGTCTGATGTCACCGAAAGGCTGGCCTGAGAGGTCATCCAGAGAAAGGCATGTGTTCACCCTCATTAGGTCAACACATGGCACCAGTATTGTTGATGACAAAGATGAGAACACAGGTGTTAGTGAGTGACTGCCCAGGACTGAAGAGCATTTACTTCTTAAATCCAGCCTGATGCCGCTGTCCAAGGGGTGTCCTCACTGATGTTAGCCATGTGGGGGTGGAGAGATGGGCCTGGTTTGGAGTCTTCGTTTTGCTATGGCCAGTGCCCCCCACCTCCTCCTGACCATGGCAGCCAGAACCTGAAGGGGCCCCAGGGTGCACGGGGTCCCCTTGCTCAGGACAGGAACGTGGTCAAAGTCACAGAGCGAGATGCAGAGGCAGGGGGAGGCCCTGTGCTGTTTGCAGACAGAAGCAGGAGAGGAGCCTATGCGGCCTTCCCTGCACGTCCCATCCTGCTCAGGCCAGCTGCTCTGAGACCCCCCCTTCCTGTTCTACTCTTGAAAACCCGCCCCCAACCTTCATCAGACTCTGGCCTCTGCCTCCCATCCTCAAAGCCTTTTCATTCATTCAACACACACCTGCCACGGGCAGGTGCTGCCCTGGGCCCTGGGAGGAAGCAGTGACTAAATGGCCCAGAGGTCATGCCACATCTGGCCCTTAGTGCCTGCTCAGCCAAGAACTGCCGCCTCCGGCGCCCATTCCTGGCTTCCCAGATGCCAATTTCACCAGTTTCTGGTAGACTTTCCCCTAGAGCACACACTACCCTCACCAGTCACTGTTATCTTACTGTCCGTCTTAACCACAGTAGGACAGGAGCAGGGGGTGGCTTCTGCTGCCTGGCATGGGGGCGGGGGTGCAGAGTTGGAGGCTGGGAGGCCTCAGGCAGTAAGAGAGCCTGCTGGGTGGTGTGTGGGGGTGGCGGGCTCTGTGGGAGAGTCAGCCCCCAGAGACATCATCTCTGAACTCTGACGGGCGTCCCAGGGGGTTGGTTCTGGGAGTGTCTCCACTTTGTAGGGAGCAGGATGGTGAGGGAATGGGAGGACATTCCCCGAGATGTTACAGCCAAGAGTTGGCAGGGCCTGGGCCTGGGTGTGTGGCTGCCTTCTGCTTGCTGAGCCCCCTCTCAGCTGTGAAGCAGGAGTCAGGGGCTTTCATGTGGACAGCACATGAGCTGCTCAACAAACGGGATGCCTGGCTCTGGGGGTGGTCTGTTAGCCTCTTCCATGTCTGAGGTCATGACCGCAGCCAGCTCATGAATGCGGTCCTGGCCAAGCCCCCTAATTCCCAGAGTGGGGGGCTATGAAGGAGGCCTGGCCAGACCTGCCGCGGCTGCTGCTACCGCCGCCAAAAACGACAGCAGCTGGTGATGACGGACGGCTCTTCTCGGGTCAGGGTCTACACTAAGTGCTGCCATGCATTACATCACTGAGTCTTCGTGACAGCCCCGTGAGGTCAGCGCACCTGCCAGTCTCACTGACAGGTGAAGATGCCGGGGCTCCGAGGAGTGAAGTCACCGCTCGAGGTCATGCTTGCCACGCGCTCCCTCCAGCTGCCTTGTCAACCCCTGCACCTTCTGAGAGCAGCACGCTGGCCTGGGAATGGACAAGTCCCTTTCCCTCTTGTTCAGTGGAAACAAATTAAAGCTCTTCCAAGAGGAATTTTACTCAAGAAGAAAATGAAAACATACAAAAGTGAGGAGATGGATGGAGGGGAGGACTGGCGGGGTGGTGGGTCTGGGGGCGGAGCACCTTGACTCATCTTGGAGGGGACCGGGCATTTGACCAAGCCATTCCAACTGCCATCGGGAGCAGGTCCCGGCCAAGCCTGGGACGGTTCTCTGAGTCTTCCCAAGCTTGCTGAGCCAGGGCTAGGCCCTCCGTAGTTCCTGTCGCAAGCACAGACGAGGAATGGGGTCCCTCACTGGCTGACCCATGCCTGCCTGCCTTTGCCCCTCTAGTCCTTGCCTTGTTCCTGTCATTGGAAAACACTCATCAACTGTTTCCCGCGTGCCAGGCTCTGCCAGGCGCTGGGGAGCAGGTACGTGAGACATCATCCTTGCCTTGGAAGAGCTTGAGGTGCAGGGGTGGGCAGACAGGCACCCCAGTTCACTCTGAAAGGGGCACTAACGCCAGGTGAATACAAGGGGCTTAGAAAAAAGTGTGCAGGTGTGTTTTGAGAGACAAATTGATAGGACAAATGGGGTAAAATGTGAACAGTTGGTGAACCTGGGTAAAGAGTATATATAGCAAGTCCTTGTACTATTTTTGCAGCTTTTCTGTAAGTTTGAAATGATTTCAAAACAAAAAATTACTGAAAAATAAACCAAAAAAAAAAGGTGGGGAGAACCCTGGCGTGAACAAAGAGCTTCAGAGCCCAGAGGAGAAAAGCAACCCCCTGCTTATGGGAGCTGGGTGGCCTGAAGGAGGGACCCACTGAGTTGGCGGAGGAGGGGAGCTGGGTGTTTGGAGAAGAGGACACAGCACGGGCAAAGGCTGGGGGTCTGGAGGGGCCTGGAAACCTGCTGAACACCAAACGCCTGCTGTGTAAGAGGAGCTTCCCATGCTCAGAGTCTGTTATTCAGACCTAGTATTTGGGCTTCACCAGACAGGCAGCCCGGCTCTCAACAGTGGCACCGTCCAGGGAAATCCTCTGCTACCAGACAGCTCGCTGGGTCTCAGCCTCTTCTCCGGAGCAGCAGGGCTCAGTAATGCCAAGCACGATCGTGCCTTTTTGGCCTCCGCCAGCTCCCAGGAGAATGGCTTCCAAATTTCTATCACAGTTGGTTTCTAACAACATCCAAATGGTTTGCCACAAGCCCAGCAGCCCTAGCTGTCCAGGACCACAGGTGCCAAGACAAAGGTTGGCCCAGGCAACGCCTTCCCGCTGCCTGAGCAAGTCATAGGGCCCCATCAACTGCTGGTGGCTGGGGAGTGTCAGTTTCACGCTCAGGAAGTGGAAAAAGAGGCAGCTGGTTTAGAGCACTTCCTCGAGGGCAGAGGCTTGACCCGGTGACCTCTCAAGGAGGCTTCCAGTTGGTTGCGTGGAACATTCTCTATGCCCTGGCCCACCTTCCTTGGGCTTAATGCCTTCTCATATTTCTGGTCTCAGCTGAGGGCTTACCTTCTTGGGAATGCTTGCTGTGAGCCCCAGCCTTGGCCAGGGGAGGGGTCTCCCCCTGTGCTCCCAAGACTCCTGTGTCCCCTCCGTCACAGTGTTTTCTCATTGTGGGTAAGAGAAACACCCTGGAGCTGGGTTGCCTGGGTTTGAGACCTGGCTCTGCCACTTTCTAGTTCTGTGACCTTGGGCAAGTTACTTCACCCTCTGTGTGCCTCAGTTTCTTCTTTCGTAACATGGGGTCTATCCCAAAGGGCCAGGTGAGTTAAAACACTTTGTACAGTGTCTGGTCCCTAGTTAGTGCTATTGCTGTACAAGCCTCTGCCCCTACTAAGCTGTCATTGTTGACTTGACCGAGAGCCCAAGAGGACAGACGCTGGTGCTGTTTGTCCCTGGGTCTCGGGGCTGGGCATGGTGTGCGTCTCAGTACGGGCATCAAAGGTACAGACGAATGGGAATGAGGTCGAGGACCAGAGTCTGAGTGCTAAGGCAGAACGGCACAGGGCTGGGCATCTGGAGCCCCGGTCTCAATTTCTGCTTCTGTGTTTCACACTCCGAGGAGCCCGGGTCTGAGCCTCAGTTTCCTTTGTAACCCTGGACAGCCGCTCCAGGACTGGTGACACTGCACCCTGCAGAGCGCTGCCCAGCACAAAGAACAGCTGCCACCTCTGATGGCTCTCCCACCCCATCTCCTGCCCTTTCTTGGCTCACACCTCTCACGGCGCCCCCATCCGCACCCTGAGCCCTCGCTGGAGCAGTGTGTTATTTTCACTTGATAAATGACTGAATGGGCCGGCCTCTAATGAGCGTATTATTCCCCAGCCAAGGAAATGGCTGTCTCTTCTGGGGTCCCCTGATAGAAGGTCCACACCCTGGCACTACTGGCCCCCCAGCACCCCCACAAGCCCCTCCCTCACCTTGCGTCACCACCTTGCCGAAGACAGGCAGGGAGTCGAGCGTGGAGCAGTTCCAGCGCCGGTTCCGGAACTGGTACTGGCACTCCTCGATGGCGAGCTGGGCGCCGCGGCGCACCGAGTCCATCACCTCCAGGTTCCGCTTGCACATCTGCACCTGCCTCTGGATCAGGCCCTTGAGCTTCTCACATGTCTCCTCCTCTGAGATGCTTCCCACTGAGGACAGCTTGGCCAGGTACCTGGGGAGAGGATGGTGGGGGTGGAATGCAATGCAGAGCCCTGTCCCTCCCCGTCCACTCCCAGGACAAGACCATGCCCAGCAGATCTGTGGGAACCGACTTGTCCCAGCACATGTCCTGGCTGCCAGCTTCTGTCTGGATCCAGTGACAGGCCCTCTTGCCCAGCTCTTAGGGCTGGGGCAGGAAGTGCCATCTTGCACGAGAACACCTCTCTCTCAACTTGGCCAAAGCAGGCAGAGCCCCCACAGCTCCTTCCCTGCCCTGGGTGACCCCGGCACCAGTGTCTGTGCCCTGATGTTATCCCAGCCCCTGAGCTCCTATGCCTTCCTGTAGCTGAGAGTCACTGCTCTGGTGTCTCTCTTTCCTGCCCCAGGCAGTGACCCCAGTGACCTAAGCCCACCTTCTGGCTACAAAGCCAAGACCCTCACTGCCAGCCATATCCCAGGGCCATCAAGTGGAGACTAGCATCAGAGCTGCAGCACTTGGGGGTCGACTAATGAGGGCTGGGGGCTGGGGGCGCTCAGTACACAGGTGGCAGGCAAGGTCTGCCACGATCTCGCCTCCGCACTTGACAGTGCGGGCTCCACCTCTTAGGGTTATGGCGAGGATCACAATCTGGATAAGATGCTCTTTGTCAAGAAGCTCTGGGGTCAGGCGCATGCAGGGAGAAGGGACTTTAATATGTTCACTTGAGCGAGGACAGGAGAGAGCACTGTATTCATTGAATGCCTACTATACACTAGGCACAGTGACAGGCACTCCATCCTGGGGCCTCCTTACCCCAGATCCACGAGGTGATCATTATTATGCCTATTACATGGGTTCCAGAATGAAGGCTAGGAGAGTGATGTGCCCAAGGTGACAGAGTTAGTAAGTGCCAGAGCCGAGCCTCAAACTCCTCCAAACCCCCAGGGCCTCCCTCTTGCCTGCCTTTCTCCACAGTGGGCTGAGGGGCCCAGGAAGGCACCACCTCACTGAATGACAGACACTTTGTGATCTGGGCCAGGAGGCAAGGGGGCTGGGAGCAAGACACAAAATTGCTCACCAGCATGAGGAAAGGCCCTGTGAGGAAGAAGCGATCCCTCTCTCAAGGGAAGAGGGAGGGCATTAACTGAGCACCTACTGAGTGCCAGTTATGTTTCAGAGAGGTAAAGTAACTGGCTTGTGGTCACCTGGTTTGTAAGGGTGGGCCTGGGTTGGAGCCCACCCAGGTCTAGATGTCTTCATGGCTTGTGTGGTAACTGCTGCCCCTCAGCCTGTCGTCCCCCACCCCAAGTGTCCCTGGCACGTAGTAGGTGTACAAGTGGCAGCTAATGGTGGGAGGAGAGCTGCTGGTGACTCTGGAAGGCAAAAGGGATCTTGCGTGTGAAAGATGGTCTGATGCGGGTCTGAGGCAGTGGGGCAGGAATTCCACGATTGTTTGCTGAACGGAGGACTGAATGAATGCCTGGTGACCTCACCGGAAAGTACACAGAAAACGCCATTGAAGTATGGGAAATTTTTATGGTGATGACCATAAAAATAGCAAGCTTTTAGGGAACTTAGGGGGCTAAGTACTTTACTCACATTATTGCATTTGACTTCTCAGAAATACAGTAAACTCTCACTTTACAGAGAGGGAAACTGAGGCACAGACAGGTTAAGCAACTTGACTTCTGTGCAAAATCACACCAGTAGCAACAAGTGGAGTCAGGACTTGAACTCAGTTTTGCCTGACTTCAGAGCCGTTGGTAGAGACATTGCTCTTTTATGTGGCTCAATAGCCAGAACTGATACCTGTGGGAGAAGCTGCTGGGAGCTGGACTCGTCCAACTCAAGGAGGACAGGCAAGGTACCGCTGGGGGGCTGCCTGCTGTCGCTGAGCCCTCTGTCCCTGGAGGTGTGCAAGCAGCAGCTGCATTCTATTTGCTAGGCATGTGGGTTGGGCCAGGATGATGGCTCTCCAACCTGGCTGAGCATCGAAACATTTGTGGGTTTGTTAAAAGCCCAGGTGCCTGGGCCCCACTCCAGGTGGGTTCTAGGCTTTTAACACGTTCCCAGGAGCAGCTGTGACGCCAGGCTGACACCGGCCTGGAGGATCCTTCAGGGGACGCTCTTGGGTAACTACTGGGGGTGTTCCCTTCTCAGCCCGAGGGAGACTTGACTCTGGGACACACGCTCCTCCTTGAGGCAGTGGCAGCCCCCTGGCTGTGTGGCCTGTCTGAGCCCGGCTTTCTGGAGAGAGAATGGTTCTGGTCCCAATGGGCTGGGAAGGGGACATTAACTGAGAAGTTAATGTGATTTAATGTGGCTGCTGCATTTGGCTCTGAGCTGGGCACATGGTGGGTGTGCTGTGGCTGTGAGGATCTCTCCCTTCCCTGCAGCTCAGGTGGAGGAGTGAGAGGTGGGTGGTCTTGGGCCGAGGTGGTCCAGCCTGTCTTCTCTTGCCTTCCTGGCCACGCCCCCCCATCTTTTCTACCAGGTCCTGCCTGGTGGATGCACAGATGTATAGTGCCCTGGCAGAAGCCTGAGCCTCTTAGAGGGACCCAGGGCAGGAAGGTGGTTGAGGGGCAGGGAGAGGGTGCATCTGCAGAGCAAGGAGGACACCTGACTCCTCAGTGCTGCCTGGGTGCTCCTGGGTCTCTGCCCCCCGAGGGAAGGGGCTCCCTAGGGAGCAGGCCACCTGGTGCTCTTGGCCTGCAGGGGGCGCCAAGAGCCCAGCTACTGGCTGCGGGCCAGGTCCACGTTTGGGAGGCCACCGGTGAGGGGCCAAGAAGTTGGGCCTCAAGTTGGATCCTTTCCTACTCAGACACAGAGTTGGCTTCTTGGAGAAGGGCAGGGGCACCTATGCCCTCTGTGACATGGGGGCACAGAGTTGGCCTGTCCCGTCTCCATCTATGCTCCCTCTGTATGTAGCCAAGGGGCCAGGTTGGGCTGTGCTGGGTCCTGGCTGCCGGGGAAGGGAGATGTTCAGGCACAGGGGTTCTGTGGGCAGGTGGAATAGGTGAGGGAGGCCTGCCTGGGCCACCAACCCACCATGTGACCTTAGGGAAGTCCCTGCCCCTCTGGGAGCCCGTCTCCTCATGGGTACCATAAACTAGTGGCCATTGCCACTGTCAGAGTTGGCAGCCCTGCTTGTACAGGTGGGGATGGGGGTTCCAGGCCTCCGAGGCTTCCTGGATCCATGCCGGGCTGATAGATGGAGCTCCTGCCATTGACGAGGAATAAGATGGGCCAGAGGGGCCTCCTGCACGCCTTCCTGAGGCTCAGAGCTCAACAAGGGGAGATGGGCTGAAATAACAGTAGGAGGGATTTAGGGGTGAGCTGCTGGGCTGCCATGGCTGTGAGTCACTGGGACAGCTTCCAGGAAGAAGCGAGAAACTTCTTCCACCAAGGAGCGTCCCTGCCCCCACGGCTGGCACCAATGCCCACCACCCCCAGCCCCTGCCTTTATCTGGCCCAGCAGCTGTCCTCTTCCATGCCACAGGAGGCACAGCTCCACCCCCACCCTGGTTCTCCCAGGGCCCACGGTCTTGCCTGGGAAGGGCTGGGTGCCAGAGCTGGAAATGGAGCTGGAAATTCGGTGGAGAAAGTGAGGACCATGGGCATCGTAGGCTACGCCTGCATTGCTTGCTTGTCTGGTATCCTTAGGGTGTCTGCCCTCATTTTATAGATGAGCAAACTGAGGCCTGAAGAAGTCGAGTGACTTGCCCAAAGTCACCCAGCTAGTGAGTGGCAAAGCTTGGAATGCAAATCCGGCTCTGCCAGGGGACTCTTTCCCTGTACCCTGTACCCTGCTTGTGGGTCTGTGCTATGTGTCATATCAGTCTGGGCTCTGCTCATGCCTGGAACCGTCTGCCGTACATAGAAAGTGTTTAGTAGAACTCTCAGTGTGCACAGAGGGCTCTGTCCTGACCAGGTCCCCTCTGCTCACCTCGTGGCAGAGTACTCAGGGTAGGTAAGGGTGGTGTGTGTGGGGGGTGAGGGACAGCCTTTCGGTCTGCTAGGGGTGTGGAGACCCTTAGAGCCTAGGCCCACCTGGTCCTGGGAGCCTCAGGAACCCCCTCTCTGCACCCTAAGGTAGCTCAACCTTCCCCCTAGAGACATGCATGCCACCTGCTGACCGTGGAGCTGGGCTGGACTGAAATGTCAACTGCCCAAGCCATTTCTGGGGGAGACGGACCCTGGGCACGATCGGTCTCTGCAGTCGCTGGGCTTGTCCGGCCCGGGGAGGGCCTCGACCATCCCTGCTTCTCCCGTCCTAGTTGCACTGCCCCAGTTTAGGCTTCTTCCTGCCACTGCTGAGTACAGGCTTAGCAATTTGCCACCTGCTGCTCTGGCCACCCAGGACTGTAGCCACAGCCGTGCCTTCGATCAGGTTACCCCACCAGCCCGGGCCGCCCCGGCTGCGGCTGCCAGCCAGCTCGTGCCCCATCTCCTCCAACGGGGGCTGCGGGGGCTGCAGGTCCTTCAGGCTCCTCCCAGGAGGCCCTCCCCACGCCTCGGCCCGTGCCTGTAGCCTGCAAGGCTGGAGGGCCCTGGCCCTGCCAGGGAGATCAGATCCTCTCGGCCACCTGCTGTTTTCATTAGAAACTAAAATTAGCTGGGCTTGTCCCAAGCTTTTCCAGGTTTGCTTGCTTTTTAAAAAAATATATACAAATTCCTAGAGGAAAACCCTCACCTCTGGGACTCCTCCCCGGCTCTCCCTCTGCCCGTCCAGAGGAGAGGACGGGGAAATAGCTAGCGCGTTTGGGAGGCCAAGCAGATCAGTGTCATGGGTCCTGGCCCTGCGGGTGTCCAGGTGGGGGCTGGGACGCCGGCCCAGGCCTCTCTCCCCCTCCCTCTGGCCTCTCTGCCTGCTCAGGCCACATTTAGAGCCTGGTCAGGAGCGGTCCTGCCTGTGGCACCAGCGAGGAGGAAGGCCCAGTGAGAGGGAGGAGGAGCCGGAGGGAACCGGAGTGCCTGCTGAACAGCGAGCCACTTTGGGGGGACTCAGGTCCGGGTGACAGTAAAAGTGACAC